TATGCCAGAAGATATGCCAGAACATCTGCCAGAAGATATGCCAGAACATCTGCCAGAAGATATGCCAGGTAGAATGCCAGAAGATATGCCAGATCGAATGCCAGAAAATATGTCAGATAGAATGCCAGAAGATTTGCCAGTAACAACATGTATAAATGTCATGGTGGGATCACACGAAGTAAAGTAATTATTGTTCCTATGATGGCATTACAGGTCATTTTCTAGACCCAAAGTGGTGAATTGTACTCTCATGCACCTGTTTGTTTAAAAACATACATGTCCAAAACATCCATACATCCCTCTAGAAAATGAATTGCCCAATCAAAAAAAACGTCCAATTTTCTTGGTTTTTTCATTTTCTAGGCTTTTGACTGGGTCAGAGATTTTCTGTCTAGAAAATGGGGTCACTTGAGTGACCCCCCCCCAAAGTCAATAGGGATGTATATAAATCAGAAATTTCTAGCTGAAATATTTCTAGGTGTAATTGCTTACCCCCCCACCCCCTGTAATCTGCTTTTGGGGACTTGTCTACACCATGCACCTACCAGTGCATATCATGTGACATGTTCACTCTAATTCATTTCATCCACTGCGCCACTCCGTGGCTCAAGACTTGCTAGCATAGCTATAGAAAAGGTGCTGCGCTCCGACCGTTGTCCACAAGTGTTCGTAGCTTTCTAGCTTAGATCCACGGCCCCTAAATACCGGGGATTGCTACCTCAAAGTGGTAGCGGAGCTCTGTGCCCTGCTAAGATCCGATATTCGGACTGCAGTTGCTTCTTGCACCTGCAACGATATACGGACTTGCAAGGGCATACCTGTGGCACAACTCCGAGTAGCTGCCCTGGTCCCATGGTCTTAATCCCAACCTGGATTCGGACGAAGAACAACTTCAGATCCAAACATATGAAGAGCCTGAAGCCTACGCTGTCAGCACGATTGATTCTAGACAAGGTATCAAGATGACTCCAAAGGTACCTCCTCAATTTGATGGCCAATCTTGTTTGTTTTTAGTATGAAGATGTGATAGATGATCGGATTAGGCATCACCACATTAGATGCAGACAAGCATGGCCCATCGCTCAAAAATGCACTTGGGGGAGCAGCTTCATTTTACAAGTCAATGCTTGACAATGCCCTACTCCGAGATCCGGATCGTGGCCTCGCCCATTTCAAGGACACATTGAGACCATACTGCGTGAAGGGAGTAAATCATGTGTTTCTTTGGCGGTTCCTCCAGATGTTTCGCACATACCGAGGCCAGAATGAATTCGTGCACTGGATAGAACATTTCGAGATTGCACAGAAGAGACTCCTTGCATCGTGGGCAGGCTTGCTTGATCTTTCCGATTTACCGGATGTGGGCACGGCCGAATTTTTAGCAGCACTCACTCATGAGCAGCGTCAGCACCATCAATTTCTACCCAATGATGAAGAGGGAATGAATTATCAAGTAACCCTTCGAGAACAAACAATCACGAATCGGCGAGCCCAACAGCAAAATGCATTCCCATTGTCAGACAATTTGATGTCATTGATCTTTTTGGTACAATCAGACCTGAGTGAACAAGAACGTGATTTTTTCCATCCATGAACATTCGACAGATCGCCATGCCACAGCACACGTACTTGCAGGTGAAACAGCTTTTCCTCGAACTGTTCTGTGTTTCCAGACCTGGAGTCGCTGATCCAAACATTGCGCACCGAAAGTGGTCTTCCTTCTTCATCATTGATGAAGGTTAAACTGACGAAGGAGAACAAGGATTTGGGGTCATTGAGGAAACGGGAGAAGAAGGATTTACAGGTCTTTACACAGAAACCGATTTCTGGGTTGTGGGCGGCAAGGGTACATACTCTAAGCGCCGATTGTACGGCCGATCATTCAAGAAAGGTAAACCGAAAGGCTATGGAAAGAAAGGCAAACGTTCAAGACCCGGCTTCCGTCCGAGGTCAAAAGGAAAAGGTTTTGCAGCATGGGACAACGACCAGCAAGACACAGCTTTCTGGGGAAAAAGGAAAAGGCAAGAAGGGCAAGAAAGGAATGAAAGGTAAGGATTCTGGAAGGGCAAAAGAAAAGGCGACGGTAAAAACAAAGGAGGAGAACAATTTCAACAACAACCTCCACAAGCAAATGTCGCTCAACAAGCATCATCTAGCACTTCACAATCCCCCGTCCAAGATTTTACGAATATTCAGTGGTTTTCGCGACCTGACGGAAAATTGGAATGCCGCAACATTATGAATTGCAGGTGTGACCACGCTATATATTGGTGCCACCGCTGTGGATACGCATACTGCCTTGACTGCCGATCTCACGGCGAGGCATGTGACCACCACATCTGTAACTATTCATCCGAAATCGGAGAGAAGTTTTTGCCTGATAGCATTGCAGCCAGGGACTCAACCCTTAGCGTTGCGGATCTTGTCTATGACGCTCTTGGTCAAGAAGCCTACTTTGGGGCCCACAGAGCTGAACAACCGATTACCGGAGATCAGCCTTTGATGACCTTATTGACAAGTGTCATGAAGGTAGAAAGGTAGGAAACAGTTATCTTCAGTCCTTTTTGAAACATGGAGTTGAAGAATATCCTTTCGCTGACTTTGTTTATGAACTGCCTGATAGACGGCGAGTACCTACCTTACGTGAGCACTACATCGAACATCAAGAATTGAAATTGACTCGCCCTTGCCGACTCGGCCAGTATGATGATTTGACTGACGACGAGTGCTCCGACCTTTTAGAATTTCAGATCCGCTTTATTGAGCAAAACTGCCATCAGGACAGGCGAGTACCGAAAAACGGACAACGCCGCTGACAGCCAGAAAGACACATATCATCTGTCAATATCTGCCACTTCTCACTCTGAACCTTGGCCACATCAACAGGAAACTCTGCATTGGAGGAAACACGAAGTTTCCGTCCTGAATCAGAAGAGATCTGGACTGCGTTGTGCTGCCATATCTCCTTCTTCGAAACGGAGCACACATTGTTGCTTTGTGCGAGCAAATCATCCGGCAGGCGGAATTGCCAGACATCAGCACATTGCACGCGACAACGCAATGCTGGGCATGGTGGTAAATGCCGAATTAACGGCTCCATCTGTTGCCATGTTCATCCGCGACACCCATGAAGTGGGAAGTTTTATTGAATTGCTCTGCCAACATCAGCTGGCCAAAGTGTGCTGCGCTGTTTTTCCACATGTCATCTTACGCCTGGAGTCATGCATATGCAGAATTATGTGAAAGATGGGTTGAATTTCTCGCGTCCTGTGTCTCCCATCAATCAAGTTGATTTTATTCAGGGCGACGGCAACCTCTTCGCACAGCGCAATTTCAAAAAGGACGCGCATTCTGATTTCCGAAGCTACATCCTCATTGACCTCTTAGAGAGGTTTCTCGGTCAGATCAATTTTTTCCGGTCTGCAATGAACCGCATTTCATACAATGTCCTCTCCTCTACCCAAGCTGCCGAGTATATTAAAGAACAAGAGAGCGACTCCAATGCAGATTGCGACTCGATGTTATGCAACAGCATCTGCTACGGAAAGTAGACCATTGTGACCGAGGAACGCAGCAAACAACAATCCGCTAGTGCGGATGGCTGCGCGGGATCCTCCTTTGGCAATGAGATCGTGATGAACGATGTAGAGCAACCGAAGCACCTCATGGTTTACACGACTTAGGCCTTGGCGATACAGACCACGGCCATCACAAGCATGAGAGCAATTGAGAACTATCGAATTCGATCACAAGTGGCCAAATCGCGGCGACGGCTTCAATGGCAAGAAAGACATGTTGAATATATTATATGCAAGCTCGCCAAGAGCGTGATGAGAGAGACAGGACACTGCCCCTCCATTGCGCAGAGACAACTTCCGAGATACGGAGGCATCTCAACAAGACCGAGAAAGGTCTGCGAGCCGACAACGCGGCCGTGATCGCTCTACTCCTCCTGGAACACGTGCATCAACACCAGCACGTGCATCAGCATCCGCAAGTGGTTCCACACCACTGTGGAGAGAAGACCGTGGTCGCCAGAGATCCGAAACACCACATGGAAGAAGAACCAGAAGCCGCACTGGCGAAGGTCACTCCAGAGGGGCACGCTGGACCAATACTGGTCGCCAGCAACAGCAGTATCGCCAACCAGCTCGAGGTACAGGAGCTGCATGGCTGAATCAAGGTTACCATTTGCAATACGGCCAGCAGCCTCCTTGCGAACCCTATCAGAACCGACATTACGGTCAGGGATGTCACCAGCGGCCATATTTATTACCGGCACAACCAGCGCAACTCTTCCGCAGAGTACGTACCTGGCTATCAGTTGCATTATGAGCGTTGGCATAGAAATGCAGACGGCACATGGTTAGACATGGTGCCGCAATCTCCTGAGGACTCAATCTATTTTCACCAACCAACATGGCAGAGAAGACAGAATGAACTGTATCTTCATGGATACATATTCCGAATGGGACTTTGGGTATTCACCGATCAACGGCAAAACCAATCATTAAAGCGGCATTTTTGAGAAGAATACCAGCTGTATTCACGGCCAGCTGTAGCATTTTTCGTGTGTCTCCGGACACGTTTCACAGCAGAACATAAGCTGAGCGTTTCTTATGCAAAGCTAAAATTGTGCTGCATGTTAAGGCACGAAGAAAATTTGTGTCTGTTTCTAATCTACTTTTGGGGGCGTGTCTACACAATGCATCTACAGTTTGGATATCATGTGACATGTTCACTCTAATTCATATCATCCACTGCGCCGCTCCGTGGCTCAAGACTTGCTAGCATAGCTATAGAAAAGGTGCTGCGCTCCGACCGTTGTCCACAAGTGTTCGCTTTCTAGCTTAGATCCAGGGCCCCTACATAGCAGGGATTGCTACCTCACCCCCCCTTAAATTAAAGGCGGGAATCCGCACAACATCGGCAGTTTCGAGAAAAATATTGTTGAGATACACAACCGGCATAGCCATGCATAGCCCGCCTTCACTCACCAGACTTGGCTGCAGCCGGCGCTGTTCTCACTTTCGCCATTGCATCTGAAGCGTTGTTCTTAGAGTTGACAGAGTTGGACAGACAGAACTTGGTTGACAGAGTCGACAGAACAGATGCAGAAGCACTGAAGCATTTCGCTGGTTCACGATGGTTCACGGGTTCATGGGGTCACTTTGTCAGAAAGGGGAGGCCAGAAACACCTAAATTTCAACCGTGATTTGGCAAATTTTATTGTTTGATTGCTTTTATTGTTTGATTGCAATTTTCTTGAATATAACAGCAAAACTTTGGAGTGCTTCACAGGGTTTTGAGAAAACCAGTATTCCCAGTTTTCTATTGCAGAGTTGCGACGCATTTGTCCAAAAAATGGACAGGAAGAACTAGGGCCACCTTCAGATAGACAGCCCATTCACTACCAGGTGCCCGCTTTGAAGATGGCAACCCTAACAGAGGACAATTTTTTTGAGAACAAAGATGTTTTGGTGACATCAAATGCAGCTGAAACAGTTGCAGTACGTTGCAGTGGTGTCCATCATGTCGTTTTTTCTCCGTTTGGGCATGTTTATGCGGCTTTGAGTGGTGAAGTGCTCTGGAGATTGCTTTGATCATTCCAGCTCCAGGATGTCGTTCGTACGCTGTCTAGTGTGCAACTTGCGGCGGTTGAGGCATCGCGTGCTTTGTATGTGCATGCGTCATACCTTTGCCACGTGTACGACATGTACAGCATGTACGATATATGCACGATACGTAAGACGTGACTCAATCATGACATGTGACTCAGGGAGTCTCTCCAGGATGTGATGACTGCAGCCTCCTCCGCAACCTTAAGCGAGGCCTTGCACCTCCGTCCTTCCAATTTCATTGGCTCAGTGACTAAGCCACATCTGGAAACTGTGATGCACCTGATGTGGCGCTTGGGTTTCAGCACTTGCCACTTCACTAATTTTTGTAGTCTCTGAAGATCATCCGAATACCACGCAACATGCATGAACTACAAACAGCTACCCAAAATATCCTAACAAACCAAGCTTTTTCCAGGGTCTTCCAGCCATCATTAGTTCTCTACTTTTGGCAGTCGGCTCAATGACTCACTTGCGTGTGCATGGACTTTCGAGCAAATTCTGGCAACGTGCGATCCCTTCTCTTGAACAGTATCACAGATTCTGGTGGATTTGGTTTACCTTGTGTGTGCGCGCTTGCTAAGGCGGCAGCAGTCGCTGTAATTAAAGTACCGGGCGAGGTGAGGAAAGTGTCTTTGTGTCTTTTGGGTTTTGGGGCGAAGACCCTGAAAGTGGCAGCAATCAGAATCAGAAATAACAAAGTCAACAGAACAGGCATTCATGGATCCCTACCATAGATGGACGATGAAATCAAACCCCTGCTGTCTTGTTGTCGCCCCCGCATCCCCAAATTTCAATGTTGCCTCTGGGCTGCGCGCTTGGGGCCGGTGGACAGAAAAGTCAAACCCTAACGCAGAGGAAACTATATAGAGCTTTGTGCAACATTGAAATTTGGGCCCTGGAATTTGTAGGTTTTGATTTTTTTGTCCATCTACTGTAGGACCTAATCACAAATATGTGTGCAGGCAAGTAGAATCATGCTATATCCCGCCATTTTTCAATCTTTGGTAAAGCCTGTTGGATCCCTTTGGGTTGTTGCTCTTGGTGTGGTAACATGTGAAAACATATCAAATGATCAATATATGATCTATTTTGCCAAAGGCTGTTCCAAAAGTTAGCCCGAGTGCATTTTCGTCAAGACAGCAAGATATGCGAAGTTCTTCGGGTAGGCAGAAAGCTTCGATGGTCCTCCGGACTGGCTGCAAGCTTTGAATGCAACTGTCCAGGCTTGGTCCGAATCAGTAGTGTGAAATCAAATTCCAACATATTCCAACATGTTCAACATTGACCCTAGACAGCAAGGGCATATGTAGCAAATGAAGCAAATGCGCTGTTCATTCAGGTGTTGGGGGTTAATGTCAGTAATTAGTGTGGGGAGGAGGACAAGTCACAGGGAGACACAGGAGCATGACAGAGGACCAATCTGAAAACAGGATCAAAGTAAAGGACAAGGAAGTGGACAAGCTCAGGCATAGTACAGACTCATGTTTCAATCAGGACTGCAGCTCGCGCAAGATCAAACCACAGATCTGCGCACGTAAAAACATGGAAAACCTCTGTGTCTCGGTATGGTTTGCGGGTTTGATATGCAGTTTTGAACACGTCATGATTGCTTGGTCCTTGCTTTTGCTGCAGGAAGTCTGGGAGAGCGGTACTGGCAGTTTGAACACAAGAGCGGCAACACTTTTGAAGGAGGCACCAAATCCAAGCGGATTCCCTTGCTATCAAGACAATAGAAATGCGAAGAGCAGAGGAGATCCAAATATCTTAGAATTATAAAAGATATTAGATGTATCTTGCAAAGGTGCTTATGTTGAATAATGTTGGATCCTGATTAGTCTAGGGGGACCCCCCTAAACAATTCAGAGAGCATCTTTAGTGTAGAAATTTTCATGAACACGGGTCTGAATAGTGTGAAAATGAAAAAGTTGATAGATATCAATTGATTTTAATTTACTTTCAATTGATTTTCAATTGATTTCAACTTACTTTCAGTTGACTTTCAATTGATTTCAATTTACGTTCAACTTATTTTCAGTTGATGTCAACTTACTTGCAGTGGATTTTCATTTGATTTCAATTTAGTTTGAATTTGTTTTCAATTGATGTCAACTTACTTTCAATTGACATCCCATAGAAATGTCATAGAAATATCATGGAACTGCCATCGGAATCTCACAGAAATCCCATAAGAACCTCATAGGATTCCTGCAAGAATCCCATAGTAATCCCATAGAAAGATCATAGAAACATCATGGAACTCCCATGGGAATGCCATGGGAATCCCAAAGAAATCCCATAGAAACATCATAGAAATACCATGGAAACCCCATAGGAATCCAATGGAAATCCCATAAGAATACCATTGAATTCCCATAGCACCCCTCCAGAAATCCCATGGGAATCCTCTAGAAATATCATAGAAACATCATGAAAATCCCATAGGAATCCAATGGAAATCCCATAGACATCCTTTTGAACCCCCACAGGAATCCACAGAAATACCAGTAGTACCGCACAAGGCGGTGGCGGAAGTTTCAATCATAGGACACCTATAGGAGAGGTTGGTTGTTGTGAATCAGGGATGGCAGAGCGAAGCCACTGATCGACTGAAAGGTGATTGATCTCTCTCACTCTTTCTCTCTCTGTTTTGCTCTCTTTCTCTGACTATCAACCTACCTACCTGCCGATCTATCTATGTATCTATCTATCTATCTACCTATCTATCTATCTCGTTATCTGGCTATCTAACTAGCTATCTATCTCTCTATCTATCATTTGTCTCATCTATTTCATTCATCTATCTATCTACCTATTTACCTATCTATCTATTTATCTATCTATCTGTCTAACTATCTATGTATCTATCTATCTATGTATCTATGCATCTATCTGTCTGTCTGTCTGTCTGTCTGTCTGTCTATCTATTAGCTATCTATTAGCTATCTATTAGCTATCTATCTATCTATTTATCTGTCTATCTGTCTATCTATCTGTCTATCTGTCTATCTCTCTATCTATCTATCTATCTACCTAGCTACCTATCTATCTAGCTAGCTATCTATCTATTTATCTATCTATTTATCTATCTATCTATCTATCTATCTAGCTGTCTCTCTATCTATCTGTCTATCTGACTATCTGTCTATCTATCTATCTCAAACGAAGGAAAACGCCATGTTTCATACCGTGCATCGGATGCAAGAGCGACAGCAAAATAAGAACAAGGGATTCCAATACTAGTGTGCAGCCCCTTCCCACTGCACCCGACATTTATCCATCGATCTATCTGTCTGTCTGTCTATCTGTCTGTCTATCTATCTATCTCTCTATCAGTCTGTCTATCTGTCTATGTATCTATCTATCTATTTATCTCTCTATCTTGGTATCTAACTATCTGTCTATGTGTCTATGTATCTATCTGTCTATCTATCTATCTATCTGTCTGTCTATCTATCTAGCTGTCACTCTATCTATTTGTCTATCTGTCTTTCTATCTATCTATCTATCTAGCTAGCTATCTATCTATCTCATCTGCGTATCTAACTATGTATCTATCTATCTACCTATCTACCTCATCTATGAATCAGTCTATCTATCTATCTATCCATCCATCCACCCATCTATCTCTCTCTCTCTCTCTGTCTCTCTCTGTCTGTCTGTCTATCTATCTACCTATCTATCGGCAAGCTTGAAAACTAAGCAATTCTGCGAGACTTCCTTAATTTTTGAACGTAACAACGTCCACAAAACGAAACAATTCTGCGAGATTTCTTCAATTTTGGAACTTGACAACTTCCAAAACGAAGCAATTCTGCGAGACTTTTTCAATCTTTGAATTTGACAACATCAAAAACAAAACAATTCTGCGAGACCTCCTTCAAAAATGGAAAGTTGAGTGCAGCGCTGGCAGCCTCGTACCAATGCGTTTTGCGGTGTTTCTACTCCACCTCTCTAAAGTATTGCGCCTGCCACGAAAAATTGATGCCAGGTCATACGAAGTGCTGCACCTGTCACGCAAAATCATCTTAGCAAACCTACAGATCTGATGCTCCAAAATGCAACCCTCTCAGGAAATCAGCGCCCTCACCTCCTAACAGCTCCGATGAAGATGTCTCTTGTACCGCGCCTGCCACGGAAAATGCATCTTTGCAGATCCTCTTCAAATGCCCCACGCCTGCCATCGTTCTTGGAAATGCCACAAAACCCACACGTTTTGCTCACCTTTTGACAAGGTGCACAATCTCTTGCGCCTGCCACGCGAAATGAGATCTGAACGTCCAAAAGTGGTCCGTACATGGTGTGCTTTGTACATTTTGACTTTGAAATGTGCTTCGCGCCACAACGGCGTGCACTTTTTCGACGTCTCAACTTCCAAAAGTGGTCCGTACATGGTGTGCTTTCTACATTTTGACTTCTAAATGTGCTTCGCGCCACAACGGCGTGCACTTTTTCGACATCTCAACTTCCAAAAGTGGTCCGGCGCTGGTGTGTTTTCTACATTTTGACTTCGAAATGTGCTTCGAGCCACAACGGCGTGCACTTTTTCGACATCTCAACTTCCAAAAGTGGTTCGAACATGTGGTGTTTTGTACATTTTGACTTGGAAATGTGCTTCGCGCCACAACGGCGTGCAATTTTTCTTCTCTCACCTGGCCAGCTGGCTCCGCACCCGCCGCTTTAGCGAGCCTACTCTTCGACCCTCTGGAGCCAAAAACACAGTGTTTCGCGGCTTTCCTACCTTTTCGCGCACCTGCATCTTCTTTCTTCTGACTCATTCTCTTCTCTGGTCTTCTCTTCTACTCTTCGCTTCTCTCTGACTCTGCCCATCTCTGCTTTTCATCTGTCAATATTGTCGGAAGTTTGACTTCTAAACTTCCTTCGGTAAGAAGGCATTCTATTTTTTGGGAAATTAAACATTTTGAAAATTCCAAAAGAATCGAGCTAAGAAAGTAAAAAAGAGAAAGTATTAGCAAAGGAAAGGAAGAGGAAAGGAGAGAATGATTTTGGAAAATTGTTACTTCCAAAAAAAATTGGACACAATAGAGGACCACCACAACAAACATACTATTGAGGATCAGGGTTGCTCATGGACTACTCCCGTGAAAAATTGTTTGAGTGCTGCTTTTTAATTGGGTTTTAATGAGGCATCCTATATTGGTAAATTAAACATTTTGAGAACTCCAAAAGAATGGAGCTAAGAAAGTAAAAAAGTAAGAAAGTAAGAAATATCATAGAAATACCATGGAAACCTTAAGGAATCCAATAGAAATCCCATAGAAATATCATAGAACCACCATAGAAATTCCAAAGAAACTTCATGGACACTCCATAGAGTTCCCAAAGAAGCCCCGTAGAAATACCATAGACTTTTTAATCCCACAATAATTTCATAGAAATATCATAGAAATCCAAAAGAAATATCATGTACATCCCAAAGAAACCCCATAGAAATACCACAGAAACACAATAGGAACCCAGAGGAAATCCCATAGACATCCTTGTGAAACCCCATAGGAATCCCACAGAACTACCATACCATAGAAACACCACAGAAATTACATAGAATTTGCATAGAAATTTTGCCGAAATCCCACAGAAACACCACAGAAACCAAGGAGAGGATGCCAGGAGAATTGAACTAAGTAAGAGACAAAAGTATTAGCAAAGGAAAGGAAAAGGAAAGGAGAGAATGATATTGGAAAATGTTCACTTCCAAAAAAAATCTAGACACAATAGAGGACCACCACAACAAACACATTATTTAGGATCAATATTGCCCATGAAAAAATTGAAACAATTGAAATAAAAATTTCTTCATGGAACAGTTGGACACAATCGAGGACCACCACAACAAACATATTGTTTAGGATCAATATTGCTCATGAAAAAATAAAACAATTGAAATAAAAATTTCTTCAGACAACAGTTGGACACAATAGAGGACCACCACAAAAAACATACTATTTATTTAGGATCCATATTGTTCATGAAAAAACTGAGAAATATTAAACAAAAAATGAACTATTAAAAAATAATGAAAAAACAGAAAAACGAAATAACATTAACAACAAAATTAAAAATAATTTAAAACAGCTTATATAAAAATCAAAAAATGAAGGAAAACTGAAAAAATGACCCCAAAAAAATTGAAACAAAACCGACCCACCCCATCAATTTCCCTGGGTCTGAATTATTTC